AGACTACATTTCATACTAGTAGGAAATAATGGATTTTCTAGGGTTTTCATACTTATATCAATTGTTTCATTTAAAGATTTACAAGGCATTCATAACAGCTTTCCAAAACAAGGCAATGACACTTAAATACTTATGAATTCACCAGCTTTAGGCTGATACTCACTATCAAAATAACTTGTATTCTCAGGTCACCAGTAGACAGGTACGATGACCAGGTTTTGAGAAGACGGAGCACAGACAAGACTCGTCTTTTATTTTGATTGTATATTTTGGTGTCTTATTACATTGAAAGAACACACATGTATTAAAACATTACTTTTAATGCAATGGATGATGTTGTTGCTTGTTTACTACTTTACACTGTTGTGATACTGTACATGACGTCCTCCACCCCGGAATGTTTCCGTCGTTCTTGGTTTTGGGGTGTGACACTAAAAACCTAATTTCTAGACTTGCACTCTATTTAAACAACCCTATATCACTTGGACCAAATCCTAACCAGCCTCCATAGCCTCATTTGTTCCTTAAACCCTATTTTTGCAAGAACTTGTGAGTTTTGAGCTTAAAGGTGTGTTTGGTGACTTTTCTAGAGGGTGTTTAAGAATAAGAAGGTGGTGTTCTAGTCTTGATCAAGGAAGGAGATTTTGTATCCTGCATCTAGAGCATCTTAGAGAGCTTTTGAAGGTAAAACGCTTGCATCCTGTCTATCCTCATTGCTTGTTAAGTTAGGGTTTGCTAGAGCCCACTTTTGAGTCCACAAATCTTCTCTTGGGAGTTTGAGCAACTCTAGAGGTTAGGAAGGCTAGATCTAAGACTCTTGGATTTGTTTATAGTATAAAAATGCAAACTTGATGTCTTCTTTGGCTCCATGCATGAGTTACGACCTTTGGAAAGGTCTTAATAAATCAGATTGAGTTGTTGGGATCTTATATAGCATGCAAAGGCATAAAGTTGCCAACTTTACGCCTTAGGACCATTATATCGACCAAGATCTGGAATTTAAGTGAAGAGCTTGCATGCATTAAGCACTTAATGGATTTTGTGCATGAACGATTTGTACGATGGGCATACTATGTTGTACACTATGCATACAACCCCTTAGCTCAGTACACTAGGTGTACAGAAGAGGTACGTTGGGTGTACGGTCTCAGGAAGGCTTGGGCCTTTGGTGGATTTTGAACCTTTGGGCCCTAAGTGTTTGTGCCTGGACTCGATGGTGTTTTGGGCCTAAATTTATCATTTGGGCCATGGTTGGCATGTTGCGATTTTTAGGCCTTATGGACCGATATAGAATTGGATTTTTATGTTAGGCTCATTAGTGAAGGAAAGGCCTTTGGGTTATAATGAAGGGACTTGGAATTAGGACTTTGGGTCCATGTCTAGGTTATGCCATAATTCTAACTAGGGTTATTTGTTTTTTGTTCAGTGTGAGTTTTTGGACTAGTAGTCGAGCAAATTTTGTGTTCATCAGAATGATGTGAGTCTTCTCACTATACCACTAGGTCGAAGGCACCAAAGCCGGTCCATTACTTGATATGAGATTGCTATAGATGAATATGCAATGGTTTTGATATTTGGTATGTATTGATTTATGTGAAGGCCATGGGGGAGCCTATATCACATGGTAAGATCACGAGGGGGAGCCTATGGCTCTTGGATATAAGACCATGGGGGTAGCCCATGGCATCCCAACTGAAGAGCATGGAGGGAGTCCATGGCAGATTTATGTGTATATGTGCATGACATTATATGGTTATGTGTTTTGTGTATTTTGGGAAACTCACTAAGCGTGTGCTTACAATTTTGTTGGGTGTTTCAGGTATTTCTGGTTGTAAGTTTTGGATTAGGTGTCTAATCCCATAATTATATTTTGTATGTACTTGACCCGATAGTAGCATGGTCCTTTTGGGTTGCCTTCACCAAAGCAACTTGACTGGATGAATAATGGAGAAAGAGGATAAATGTATTAATATATTATGAGAATAATATATTAAAAGAAAATTAATATTGGTCAAGAATTAATTTTATGGTCAAAAGAGGTTAATTGAATTAAGGGGACTAATATTGTAATTATAAGATAATTGCAAAATGGGCTTAGGATATCTTGGATAAGAGGTGGACGAAATTTTATGGAAGCCCATAAGGATTTCGTTCAAGGCTAGGTATTCTGGAAGATTCCTTTGGGCTGCTTATGGCCTAAGCAACTGGATTAGGTATTTGACTGAATCCTAATTCCTCACCTAAAAAAGGACCCCCTTGGCATCTTATTTTTAGCTACACTGAACCCTAAGGATCTCTAGAGCCGAAATTAGCCTTCCTCCTCTCTCTCTAATATTCTCCAATTGCTTTTGGTGTTTGTGATCTATTAGAGGCATCACATTTGACGTGCTAAGTTCTCAAAGGTTCAAGATTATCAAGCTACAATTGAAAGGTGTGTTTCTAACTTGTTTTAGTCATAGTATTCGATTTTGTACGCTAGATTTAGGGTTTACAAGCTTTGGATGATTATTGCATGTAGAATTAGAAAAACCTAGATCCAAAGCTTTAGGGTTTGTATGTGCACCATAGGATTGTTGTTTTGCTCAAAACCCATCAGTAAGGGCAAGGGCCCGACTTGATGGCGCAGTGTGTACTCTCCAATATTTCCACTCTAGTTGTTTTGGATATTCTGATCTTTTGAACAATGTGTTTATGTAATGTAATTTTGGAAACCAAATATGAATGAGATTTTTAACTATTAAATGAAAATTTTTACATGAACTTTTGGGTTGTTACAATTATGTGAATGATTTACCCAATCTAGGACATGTATGTTTTCATTTAACATTGTACTTATTACTGAGTCACTTAGAAGTTGATGACACTATTTGCTTGTTGTGTTTGTCTTGTATTGAATTAGGTGCCTTAGGAGATTACAATGAGAATGAGGTTCTTTAGGTAGTTGTGTTTGATATTTGCTTTAGTAGATGATACAACTTGGATGTTTTTGGTTATTACTTTATTTTGAATATTTCTGTAAAGACCTTAGTTGTTGGGTAATGTTTTGGAATAATGTAAGGTTGATGACTGTTTTTGTAACGTTGAACAATTAAGTCTTATGTTGCATCTTTCCACTAAATGATGCTTTAAAAATAAAGAAAAAAATTTGAGTAAAAATCATGGTGTTGCATACACATTTAGTCACAAAGTGTTTATTATACATGTATTAATATTGAACTTGTTTATGAGTATGTTGTCTTGAAAACCTTCATGGTGATGATATTTGGCGTGTACACTTATCAAGATGGATCAACATGTGGATTTTTTCAAGAAACCTTTTTTGTTTGTTTGTTGGGCTTGAATTCGTTAAGTTTTTGTTATGTTTTTTTGTTATTAGGTGTTGATATAAATCTTTTAATGACTTGATATATTTAATATAAATCTATAAATATGTGATTTATCTTTTTTATGTATATAAAATTGTCGTGATAAATCACGTCTTGAAAAACGTTATAACATGTAAAACATGATACTTGACATTGTCGTCACGCCACGTCTAACGCCACTTAGAACCTTCATACTTAATTCTCATGATGCTCATCAACAAAGATTAATGTTTATGTGATGTTGCAACATTAAATAACAAAAATGGTTCTAAACTTCTAATGAATGAAAGGAGATGATATCATGTCTTTATAGTTAAAGTCATCATATTCCAATAGGAATTCTTAAAAGTGTATTCTTTTACCATTTGTATCTTAATTTACATATATGTAAGAGCTGATTTTTCATGATTATTTCCGTATCTTTAGAATAACAATCCTACCAAACATATGAAAAAATATTTTGGAAAAATGACTTGCGAGTGTAATATCTTTTCGTCTTGTTTACGTTTAGGTAACTTTATTTTTTTTGTATACATTTGACCATTTAACAAGTTAAATGGTCAAATATATACAAAAAAGAAAATTGTCTAAATGTGAATATATATATATATATATATATATATATATATATATATATATATATATATATATATATATTACAAATTTCTTAAGATTTTTTATAATTTCTTAACACATTTTTATGATATTTTTTTCTTATAGGATTTTCTAATATAATGTTTTAAATTTTGCTCATATTTTTTTTTAAACTATTTTTTTTAATTATATATCTACATATAATTTTAATATAAGTGCTTTTAAACCAAAATATTTTATAAACGATATAAAATTTTCTTACAGGTTTTTAACTTTTTTTTTAATATATATATATATATATATATATATATATATATATATATATATATATATATATTTTTTTTTTCATACAAAATTTTTATAACTTTCATACATTTATTTCTAAACTTTCTTTTACAACATTTTTAAAGTGTTTCACAAATTTTACATGACAATTTAATAATTTGTATAACATTTTAAAACACTTTTGCAAAATACTAGTTTAAAACGTTGTATTAAAAAATTAAAAGTTTATAAACTTCTAATTAAAAAGTATTAAAAAGTTGGAATAATTTTAAAACATTTACATTATATAGATTTTTTTTTGTTCTTTTAATTTGCTAAGTAATATTTTCTTTTTATTTTTTTAAAAGATCATTCATACTTATTGTTATATATTTAATTTTATTATTAGATACTATTTACTTTAAAAATATTATATATACTTAAAAACAAAGAAAAAATTATAAAATGTTATATAAAATATTTCACAAAACAAATATATATTTATTAATTAAAAAATAAAGTTTAAAACTGATCGATATTAATTAATATTTAGAAAATTATAAATATTTTAAAAATAAAGTTTGAAAAAAATAATACAAGCAAATATAAAAAATAAAATTACTATTAAAAATAGAAAAATTAATTTACGAGAGTAATTAATTTTTTGTTTATATTTAAACAATTATTTTTATACATATTTAAATAAATATATATAAAAATAAAAAATTACCAAAATATAAACAACACCTTAAATCTTCCCTTTTCGCATTATTTTGCCAAAAGTATCGAAACATAGAAGTAGATAACTGAAATACTCCCCTCTTCACCGGCTCCTCGTGCCGGCGCCGGAGAAAAACAATGTTCTTGTTAAACCCCCAACTCCACCAGCAAACCACCATCTCCCCTCTCCTTCCAACCACCTCTTCTACTTCCCTATCTAAATCCCACCACAAAACCCAACCATTGTTCTTCCGTAAACCCACCTTATCATTCCTTCAATTCTCCCTCCGCCACCATCCCCAGCAACAATCATACACCAACGTCAATAGAGACGACGAAGGATACGAAGAAGATGAAGATGAACAAGTAATCGGAGACTGCTTGGTTTTTGAAGAAGGCATATTCGAAGACCCTTTCATTCAAAACGAAATTCAGCTTGAAGCGCCCAAACCCTCCAAAAGGGTTACCAAAATCGTGGTTCAACCAGAGGATTTGGTTCCAGCGAACTGGAAAGACGTTCAGACGGAGATTAATATCACGAAGAAAGAGAGGAGAAAGATGGCTCAGGAAATGGAATTCGGGAGCAGATTACAGAAGAGGAAAGACGGCTTAAAACCTATACCGATGGGGTATGAGAGTATGAAAGAGTACAAAGCTGCAAAACTAAGGGAATTGAAGCCAGTTCTGTTGGATAATCCTCAATTTTTGGTGGAAAAGAACGAAGGTGATGACACCGAAGATGAAATTGACGAGGGTGAAGGTACCAGGGGCATTAGAGTGACCCCTAGGAACCCTAAAATGGCCGTATATGGCCGGAATTTGGAGGATATTTCACGATACTTGAACTCCGGCATGTATGATCCTGAAGCTGCCAAAGATCCAGAAGGTAATTTTATAACATTCCCACTAAAATTGGCTCAAACAGTACTCAAATTTCACTTCTATAAAGCTGAATTCTTATAATTCCATGAGTTGAAGACGAATTTGTGTTATTGTAACCTCGATTAGGTCCTCGTAAGTTGTTTTCAAAGGAGGAGAAAGTCCTTATGAATAGGCGGACTCCTGATTTGTCAACTGCCACCTCTGTAAGCTTCCTGTTACATACTAATTTAACATGAAAACTTTCAGAAATTGCAATTTTCATGTCACATATGAAAAGAAAATTGTTGCAAGTTTAATCGAATGGAGATGATTCTTTAAACAGGATAAATGGCAACCTTTACACACTCTTGCTGCATCAGGAGAATTTTACCTTGTTGACACTTTAATGAAATACAACGTAGATATCAACGTCCCCAATCAGGTAAAACTCATGACTTTTTCCTTTTTTTTTTATTACTTTTGGCAAGTTACTATTTTTGATAATAGGATAAGAAGGGTATTAACGTCTTTTTGTGATTTTTTTTTGTAGGAGGGACTCACAGCACTTCACAAAGCAATACTTGGAAAAAAGCATGCCATTTGTAATTATCTATTGAGAAATTCAGCTAACCCATTTGTTCGTGACAAAGTAAGCATAAACCTAAAATTAATTTGTTTTTATTGAAGGAAATTGTATATTATATTATATAGTATTATATATGAATAATAATTTGGTCTTTTTGGTAACAGGATGGGGCTACCCTTATGCATTATGCTGTACGCACTGCATCGACTCAAATGATAAAAATCCTTTTACTTTATAATGTGGATATAAACCTTCAAGACAACGTACGTCGAAATATTATTATTTACTTTAGCCTTGTTTGTTACATATGACATGACATGATAGATTATACTGCGTTTCGACTGATACTGACGTCAATGAGACAAACTGTAATTTTTTGGTGGGACTGAGATTTTTTCTTGATCGCTCATCTGTGCAAAAGACGTTTTTGGGTTGTTTTTGTTTTTCATTCATTTGGAAATGTTTTTGTTTTGTTTAAATTAGGATGGGTGGGCCCCACTGCATCTAGCTGTCCAATCGCGTAGAACTGATGTGGTGAGGCTTTTGTTGATCAAGAAAGCTGATAAGACCATTAAAAACCAAGTATTCTCTCTACCCTAAAGATCCATATTTTGCTTACTAGTTATTAATTATAGCATCCGACTTTTGTTTCTTTCTACTACAACGTTACACTTTTAACTAATTTTTGTATAAAGAAACAATGGAGTAAGTATTGTTTTATTAAGTTCATTTAAGTAATCTAAAATGTAGTTTTTGTGATGGTGTATATAGGAAGGGTTGACCCCGGTGGATCTTTGCCTTTATAGTGGAAGAGACACACGAACATATGAGTTGATCAGGCTACTAAAACTGCCACCCAAACCACGCAAATATGTTCAACTCATGGAATAGCAATCTACTTCCATCATGCTTTCTTTGGCTATCATCATCATCATCATCATCATCATCATCATGATGCAAAACTTTGATTGGTTGACAAGTGGCAAGATCCTAATGACCAAAGTTACTGTTACACAATGCCAGGGGTAGGATAGGTATTATAGACATGTATGGATTAGTATGCAGCTAAGAGACATGAACAACATGTAAATTTTTTTAATTATTTTTTCTCCAAACTTTGAGTTCCTTTCTCTTGCTTGTTGTGCATTTGGCGTGCATTGCACTCAGACCAATCAATGAGACAAAAGACATGAATGCCCCTATCATTGAAAATAGACTTGGAATGTTTGTCATGTCATGTTTGGTTCTGTCCTGTCCAGTTATGTCCCTAGCCTTTGTATAATATTTACAATAATACATTATTAATTCTACGTACTTTTATAAATATTGCGGTTCAAAACATGTGTTGGGATACAAATTTAATTGATAACATTGCTAATAGAGCAACTTTGTTAGATAGATTGTTGTTATGGGAGAGGAGTGATATATATTTTTTTTATTATGTTGGGTCATAAGAAATCAAAAACTTGGGTTTGTGAAGGTGATTTATTATTCATTAAGGGATAATGAGCTGGATAATGGAATGAATTATTAGATTCCATAGTCATGTTTGGTTGACATTAAAAAATAGGGCAATCCGTTCAAATATGTTTGTTAATTTAAGGCTAATGGACCATTTAAGGAGAAGTTCATTTGTGTTCGTTTATTTAAATAAATGAACGGACATGAACAAGTTTTTTCGTTCGTTCAGTTAAACGAATAAACACGAATAATAATCTTGTATGTTCATTTACATCCGTTTATATTCGTTTATGTTCTGTTATTATATTATATTAGATACATATATATGTATAATTATGTTTATGTATTTATCTCTAAATCTTATAATGGAAACTATTTAAAATGAATGTGGTTCAAGATAAACCATTTCTTTTGAACTATATTCATTTGAAATCATACAACCTTTTCAACTTATGCAACTTAAATAATCAACATCTTCAATTTTATGTGGTTTAAATTATTGATTAATTGAAATGTTTGACCTATATAAGAATATTATTTTCACACTTGGTTACCTAGAGTGTGAAAAATAAAAAAGATGCAAATAGGTAAAACTGTTTAGGTACTTTTTATTGCTTAGTCTAACATACATCATGGTCAATAAATATTAATATTCTTTTCTGAAAAATTGTTTCTCTTACTTATCTCTCTCTCTCTCTCTCTCTCTCTATATATATATATATATATATATATATATATATATATATATATATATATATATATATATATAGAATGGCTATATGGAAAATAAAAAAACCCTAAAAATCATAAAAATGCATAAAAAAATACCTAGACATCACAAATTTTTTTTTTGACTTTACACAAAAAAAAATCGCAGCTTTTTATAAAATTTTGTTGAAAAAAAATAATAAAAAATCAATCTTTTTTATAAAAAAAAAAAAAAAAAAAAATTCAGCGATTTTATGTTAAAAGATGCGATTTTTTCAAACAAAAATTAAAAAAAAAAAATTGTGATCTCAAAGTATTTTTTTTATGCATTTTTATTATGTTTAGGGTGATATATTATTTCATATTATAAAGCAAAAATTCAAAAGTGCGATTATAGATGATATATTATTTCATATTATAAAACAAAATTCTTCTCGATTTACGTTGATTCTTAGTTAGTTGATTCTTAGTTAATTGTGTTGTTCAGGTAGTTTTTTACCCTCCCATAACTCATTGATTATAAATGATAAATTCTCAAAATAAACATTTGGTTGTATATGAATTTCTCGATGCATATTAACAAGATTGTATATTGAAATTATATTTAGTTATAATTCGCATGTTAAAAATGGACATCATTTCTGTGTGAAATTAAAATTTGAGAGTAACTTACAAAATGGTTTCCCGGTAAAAAAAAAACACATCCACTTTAGTTCTCGATTTTGTTATATTTTGGTCATCATAAGTTGTATTTTTTTTAATTCTTAAATCTACTAAAAATACTTTAAATTGTAAACGTTAAATTTTTTTTAATTCTTAAATCGTTAATTAAAATAAATAAATACAGTTATTTAGGAATTTCATTTACGTTATACCAATATATTTCTATATTTCTATAAGATATAAATAAAATTATGAAAGGTCAATGTATATATATATATATATATATATATATATATATATATATATATATATATATATATATATATATATATATATATATATATATGGAAAAGTGAATATACCTTAAGGGTATATAAGTTTAGGTACCCAAACTCACTATACTACATCGTTTTGTATCATATATAAACATTGTAATTGTCAAATGTTCTTATAATTCAACTTCTAACTTAAATTACTTCAAAGATTTTTATAAATTTCATATTTATCTTCCTCTTATATAATTGTCATTTTCAACAATAATATATATAGCCTAGTAAGTGTTTTACAAAAAGATGTGATGTAAGAGGAAGATGATAGTGAAAATTTAAAAATATTGAATATAAATCAAGTTAAGGATTGAAGTTTAACAATATTATAATGAATATATCAAAAAACAAAACGACGTATTATTATGAGTTTGGGTACCTACGCTTATATACCCTTAAGGGTATATTCACTTTTCCCATATATATATATATATATATATATATATATATATATATATATATATATATATATATATATATATATATATATATATATATATATATATATATATATATATATATATATATATATATATATATATAGGTGCTACTAAATACACACCCCATAAATACTTTTATTTAAAAATCAATTTTTTCTACTAAAAAACACCCTTAAATCTTAAAGTTTGTGCCCTATTAAATTAAATGTTAAAATCTAAAAAAGCAGAGCAAAAATTGAAAGATTACGGCATTGTTAAAATCTTTCATGCATCACATATAAAAAATGTTTTTCATATTATTATTAGCAATCTTATACATCTATATCTGATAAAAAATTGTGGTCTTATTCAATTAGTAATCTTATAAATCACTATAACAACATTAGAGTAACCGAGTCCTCAAACCACTTCCATCACTGCCGACGGCGACCACCGTAGTCCTGTCGGATTGCTACCGTCGACCACCTCTTGGAGAAACAGAAAGGGAAAAAGAGAGGGATCGACATAGAGAAAGATCGAGAGACAAAGATGAAGGCAGATAGCAAAACGCCGGCAGCCTACCGTGGGCAACCACCATGGAACGTGAGAGACATGAAGAGTGGTCGGAACTAGAGGCAGAGGTCTGGTGATGTTGTTTGTATAGTGGCGACGGTGCACCGGTGGCGACGATGCTCCGGTTGTTGAGATACTCTGGCGACTGTTTACGTATTATTTATAACTTGAATCTTTGTTTTTTTTTTTTCTTGATGACTGGCCATTGATTGTTAACTAGAGAGATATAGAAAGTTGAGTAGAGAAAATATGGTATTAAGGTTAGAGTTTATTGTTTTAAAAAATGGTTGAAAAGGTAGGGCTTACTTTTAATGAATTTTTAAAATAAACGTTTTCTAATATCTGTTAAATAAAAGTAAAATATTAATTATTATTTTTAATCATTACACAACAAGGAAAATGATCAATAGCAGCGACAAAAGTCGTCGGTAATAACTAGGGGTGTCGTCGGTAATAGTATTAGCGGCAACATGTCGTCGGTAATAAGTCGTCACTACTGCCTCGACGCTACCCGAAAAGAGGGATTTGAAGCACTATAGCTCCGCTCAAACGTCCCTTTATTCGAGTTTCAAGGAGTAACCCATTACCTTCTGGGTGGAAAGCTGTATTCGATGAAAGTCGTATGTACGGCTTGGAGGGAGATCTTTCATGTCTTTCGAGATCCACCCTACAATATGGGGTAATGGACTGAGACCGTGGAAGCTCCATTAACACCTTAAGGCTGTCTTCATCCTGAGAACCCTCGGGAATATTCAGAGACTCGGCTAATGCTTCTAGGCCCACATTCGGGAATCACTTTTGCTTTCTTCATCATGCTAAGGTTCAGGCAACCGATTGGCTCCAAGGGACTTTAGAAGAAGTGGGCCTAGAAGCATTAGCTGAGTCTCTAAATATTTCCGAGGGTTCTCAGGATAAAGACATCCTTAAGGTGCCTGTTAGCCCATAAGTAAGTACTGTGACGAAGCGGTTGTTGCTCACCGGACACGATTGTACGTACATCTCGCGCCTATGGGCCGCTATAACTATCCAAGAATACACTTGAAACTAGAAGGATAAACAAACCCACCCGGTGGACTGCCGAGCTACAAGTCCTATGAGATAGGAGCGGGATTCTCTAAAAAGCCAAGGTCGTAGGTGGCCAAGAGGGTCTGAAGCACATTCCAACAATTACCTAGCCCGGTAGGTGGAGGAAAAAGGCGGAGAACATTCTTTAATCAAAGGCGCCAATACCAATATCAGGATTAGACCCATTTCGATCGAGCGGCAACCGCTGCTGCAAATTCGCAACCTGATCCTAAGTAATCGTTGTTGTTCATTGGATTCCGGAGGAACTACTTCGTTCTCTCATGAGACAAGAAAGCAGAAGCTTCTAGAGTCGTATCCTAACCTGATTCCGAGACAGTGTTGACGAAGTTGCTTCTAGGATCCTAGCCAAAGGTTTCCCAGGAAGTAGTAGCCCCTGAGGAAGCCATTAATTATATTGTCGCCGCTATTGATATATATATATATATATATATATATATATATATATATATATATATATATATATATATATACCAAATACTCATATACCACATATACATCAAACACACATACATTGGCATATATACATCAAATTCACATATATTCATACAAATACCAAATATACAATCTAATTTTCACATATGACAATTTTCACATAATTTTCACATACAAATACCAAATTCACACAAAAAAAATGAAATAATAGAACATTTTATTGCAATTTAATCATCAAATTCCAACTCTTAATAATCACCAAATGTCCCTAAATACT